ATTCGAAATACGAAAGTTTAGTTTTCAAAATGCTTGGGTAGTTGGTTTGATACTCTTTTATTCTCGTTTTTTCAGTTTTATAATGTGAAATAATAATAAATAGAAAGTGTGGTCAAGTTTTACAAGTCACATATTTTGGATGAAAATTTTGTGTCCTCTCAAAGATTTCTATTTGTTTTGTATTGTATGACTTTTTCATATTACAATTTCAGGCCACAGGCTGACATACCTACTCTTCACTATACACGATGTTTCTAAAATGTCCCTCGGACATTTGTGTGACCTTAGCCAGACGTGTCTGTCGGATAGGAACTAATAATATTTTTAATGTCGTACTTAATTGTATATGTATAAAATAAATTGTCAACTGAAAACTTCTTGTTTGCCTTGCGCCGGGCCACGCTGGCTTGACGTTTCAGATATTGCCGATCGTATTACGTCTATATTCAACACACATTTTTTCAGCAAAATCGTTCAAAGCGCTGTTACCACAGGAAAAAAGGCTCCGACCAATCGGTTGGAGCAGATTATGTGGAGATTTAGCTGTTCTCGCAGAATCTTTCAGAGAAAAAAGAGAATTAAGTACCTAAGTCCAACTTTCATGTTTATTGTGACCGTATTTTTTCTCTTTATGGGTACAGAAGTTGACATCGTGACTGGTTTTATTACAAGTTTTATCGTTGGTAAACATTCAAAAGTCGACCGTAGGGATGGGTCATATATTTTTTCTAAAGTTAGCTAAGCCCATTCAGGTAGTAAATAAAGTTTCAGTGTCCATAAAAATCATGGATAGTGATGTTTGCTATACGTTTTGACCATTTGGCTTCTCAAATGTAAATATAAACATAGCACGTATTCGTAGCATAAAACATATTTACATGTAGTATGGTTAGGTTAGCTTAAATTTTAAAGCTAAGCTAAGCTAAGACGTATAAAAATTCCGGCCTCCCATACAAAGTTAATCAGTTGATCGTGAATTTTGTATGGGAGGTCTGAATTTCTTTTTCGTTTCCCACCATTGGCTCCATAGTAAAAGTTGTTCAGTTTGATGGTCTGATCCTGCCTGCAAAGTTTTCGGTACACCGTCCCTAACACCCTGTATGTGCATAAAGGTATGATGAGATGACAGATTTGGTATGCTCTTAGCTTAGCTTTAAACCCTACCATATGAATATGACATCTGAATATTTTTATGCGACTTAAACGTGCTAGTTTTAAACCTAAGCTGATACCTATTCAAAATAATGAAACTTAACTGATGATTTCCTAAGCCGGAACCTCACTTAAAATACAGTATGAGTACTGTTTATAGTTTCGCTTGTCCGTTATACGAATGAACTATGCAGCTAAGTGGAGTCATTTCCGCTTTCAAAGGAAATATTAAATTAGACTGCTCCCTCAACTAAAATGCTTGCGGCTCCTCAATCCTATTTGAGGGTAGTTCGACTACACTCGAAGTAATGGAAACAAGATTGCCGTGGAATTAATTATTGATCTGAAAATTGGATTGAAGTCATTGTGTATGGAACGAAATGGCAGTAGAACATGCTACCGGCAATTTTGATAGGCATTGAAGGAAATAGGATCCGAGCGAATGCAAATTGACCATATCAAAGATACCTACTGCTACAAAGAGTCAATGTTTATTTTCCTAATACATTGTCTTCAATTTTTGATACAAACTTGACGATATTTGATTAAACATTAAGTAATATTAGGTTAGTTTTATTATTTGAAGAACTTTCACTTAAATTACTTTTTTCTTACTTTGAGATCTGTCTGTGAGTGTTATGATCATATTTTACTTTGACATGGCATTAAAGATATATTATTATGAGGGCACGAAGAACGCCCCGCACGCTGTACGTATTTGGAATGAAAGCAAAGCAAGACTAGATAGTGCTGCCTTGTAAAAAAGTCTGCCTACACTTTTTCAAACAGCTTGTTTAGCTCAGTGCATGCACACATTGTCATGTTGTGTTTGGCACTCGAGAGTGTACATAAGCAGTTCGCTTGTTTGTTCCGAAGTGATGCAGCATTTAGATCAAACATGTATCGTCTACGGAGTGTCTTTTCGTTATAAGTGTTGTTAATGATGTTAAACAATTGCGAATAATTCGGCCACAAAAGGGTATAAAAAGCCAAAAGGAGATCAAGGTACTTGGACCTCCTCTACAAAATTGTCGATCAGCTGATTGATTTACTATGGGAGGTCCAAATTGTTTTTCATATTTCGACCCATGTACCATATGGAAAGTTGTTCAGTTTCATGAGTACCTTGATCTCCTTTTGGCTTGTTATACTCTTTCTGTTACTCCCTGTAGAGAATATTTATATAAGGTTTACTCGACCCTATTTCGGATTTTCGCGACTGTCAAGTGTTACACGGCAAAGGTTGCTCCTGTCAAAATTCTCAATGTAGAAGAATATCAAAACAGCAAAATTAAATAAAAGAACGTCGTACGATTCTGAGCAAATTTTAATCCAAAAAATACGACGTTCGTGGCAACCATCTTCTAAGTTACCTTGACTTTTCCTGAGATTTCAGTTATAGCCAGTAAACGTCAAAATCGACACTAGTACTGAGTGAGCCATTTGTTCCTTTATTTGTAATTCGGCCGTGAAAATGTATTGTTGAATGTGACATCCTAGATTTTTTGCGATAGTTGTTAAATTACGTAAATTGTTGAGTTCCTACCAGAAGGTTTAAATGTGTCATCCAAGCAAGATGGATACGAGTTTGTATCGAAGCTCCTCCTGCGATAGAGAGCTTCGGGGACTTGATATGAACTACGTGACTCCACTGCGGATAACTTCATGTTCTAATTAATATACATTTGGTTCATTCATACTGAAAATGCATAGACCGAGTTAGGTGGTAAGAGCACCAGAGGTACGTACTTCCTTAAAAATATGAAAAAAACATTATTTAGGTAAGCTACACATAGAATAGCATACCTCTACTTGCTCTATCTAAATCACTTAACATCAGGTGAGATTGCGGACAAATGCTTACCCATTGTTTATAAAAAAAAAAATTGCTATAAATGTAATGTTTGCAAGAACAAACTTTCTTGTTTGTTTGTCTTACAGATTAACATAACAAAACATAAACAGGAACTTGTAACATAAAATATTACCATAAATATTGGCCTATCGCCGTAACGAGTATCTCCGAGGCTCATAAAAGCTAAAAGCAGCCTCATATCCCTAGAATTACGACATTAGACGGTTGAAAATAAGCGGCGAAGTTGGCGCGCCCACAATTTGCGTACACGGGCGCAATCCACCCTTTATGCGGCAACTTGGCTCGTAAATTAAAAGAACGCCCAGCGCCAAGGTAAATACGCAAAGGGTTGGAAAAATGTGGAAACCGCACGCCGACGTAATCAATGGAGAAGCGAATTCACGTTTTTAAACGAGGTCAAGTCTTTTTCTGGTCGAGTGGCTCGGCAGGAGAGCGATGGGACTGTGTGTGTGTAATTTAAATTCAGTTATGTGATTTTAATTTGTGTTTTTTTTTTCTCCACTCTAACTTATTGGTCCTGCTGTTTTTATTGTATACCTCTGATATTCATGCTTTCATGTCATGGCTAAATTTTAAAATTATATTTCAAACTGATTTAGGAACGCTTTTTTTAAAATGTTATCGTCGCATTTGGTAGTTTTATTGGACCATAGTTTCAATTCGTTTATACAAAGCGTCGACAATTCGGTTCGGTTTTATTATTTCGGTTTTGCCGCATGATTACCAAACCCACAGCAGTGGACATGCAATTGAGTTTCCAACTATCAAACCAAAATTGGTATAGGTATGAACAGGGATAAAGGCATTTACTTGCCACATTTTTTAACAAAATTTACGAGATGATCAATAAAATTTGAAACTCAAATTATACAAATTGAAATTATTACTCCTACCGAAAGTTATATTAAGGTAACTTTTTGAATAATGATAGGTAATTAGGTAGGTACTTACAGTACGGTCGTTCGAATAGGCAATATTTGACAGCTGTCAAAATCGTGTTAATGAAGTCAAGTATGGCCTAATGAAACGGTGATATACCTATCTTGTAGGGCTGTGAGTTTCGAACCACCCTGTTATAAATGTCTTTAAACTCTTTGATTTTGGTGTGGTACCTGTACTTACCTGGCCAGGTAGGTATAGATAGTGTAACATTGGATCATTACAATACATAGTTTAAAAAATATTGAAATTTAGAAAATATGCCGTGTGATACCGGCTTAGAATAGCATCACCCCACATCTTACCCGTGGGAATTGTATGACGCGACTAAGGGATTAGAGAGTTGATGTGTGTTGCAATTTATATGCGACAGGCTGACAACTTGTTACTAGAGTGATGACACAGTCTTCTGAATGATTAAAAAAATTGTTAGGCGTGCTGTAAACGGCCGTTTTATATAACCGTTTACGCTCCAATAACCCCGCATGGCATATAGGCGCGATATACGTATGTATGTAGTTTAAATAAATATAGAAATTTAGAGAATAAGAATAAAAAGCTAGACTACAACATACAGGGTTGTTCTCGCTACACGCAAAAAACGGATACCATTGCACATATCAAATGTGATTCCCATTTAACTACGGTGCATACATTCAGGTGGTTCCCGCTACCCCCTAATCAGGTGGCTCGTTGCAAGCTGCAGCAAGTTGCAGTCGGATTTCAAACATGCCGCGGTTCAGAGGTGGCTAATTAGGTATTAATTCCACCCAGGAGCCATTCGACAGAGATGGATTCAAGGAAACTTTATCTTTGATATGTTATACAGGATTTGAAAAATCTTCTAAAATTGTAATGGGTGAAACAGTCCATGAAACTGATCAACTTTCGCAAATTTTGTCAGAGGTTTTGGGAAAACTTCCAAAATTTTCACCGCAGGCAGGATTTGAACCTGCGTTCGGCATCAGTACTGCCAACGCCCTAACCAACTGTCCAAAATTTTCACCGCAGGCAGGATTTGAACCTGCGTTCGGCATCAGTACTGCCGAGTTGGTTAGGGCGTCGGCAGTACTGATGCCGAACGCAGGTTCAAATCCTGCCTGCGGTGAAAATTTTGGAAGTTTTCCCAAAATTGTTTACCTAACACGAGAAGTGTTTTAAAATTTGGTATTCAATTTGTCAGAGGTGGTGTAAATGACCGTTTTATATAACTGCTTACCTCGCAAGGAATATAGGCGTGATATATGTATGTATGTTTATGGTTTGAAAAATATTGAAATTAGAGAGTAAAATTCTAGAATACAACATACACTTTAGGTGGTTCCCGCTACACCCTAATCAGGTGGCTCGTTACAAGCTGCTGCAGGTTGCAGTCGGATTTCAAACATGCCGCGGTTGAGAGGTGGCTAATTAGGTATTAATTCCACCCAGTAGCCTAAAGAGATGCATTTTCCTACTAGATAGTAAACTGGCTACCTACTAAAGCTACTGTACATAGTTATGAGCAAGTTATGAGGGATAAATAGAACTTTTTATAGATACAAATATGGCGTCGCATGCGTCTCAAACGCTTTGACAGACGCACCCGTCGTCACAGCGTTAGCGCACCGTTAACGCTGTCCGTTTGCGCTGAAAAACCAGCAACGTACGTATATCAAGTGTGATCCCTCCCCGTATAACTACGATGCATACATTCAGGTGGTTCCCGCTACACCCTAATCAGGTGGCTCGTTACAAGCTGCTGCAAGTTGCAGTCGGATCTCAAACATGCCGCGGTTGAGAGGTGGCTAATTAGGTATTAATTCCAGCCAGGGGCCATTCGACAGAGGTGGATTCAGTGAAACTTTATCTTTGATACGTTATCTTTGATTCCTGTAGGATGTAAAAAAATACTATAACTGTGAATAAAAAAATATGGGTAAAACAGTCCGTGAAACTGGACAAATTTCGTTAAAAAATAAACGTAAAAATATGATAAAACAAAAAATTTGGGCCTCCCATACAAATTATACCAGTTCAGACGACGCAGTCAATTCGCATGGGAGGCCTAAATTGTTTTTCATAATTACCCACGTATCTTAGGGAAAGTTTTTTTAGTTATTGGACAGGTTTACCCCCTTGAAATATTTGCAGTTAATAATTTTACGCCTTATAATATAACGTACCTCTTTTGGTGGTTCTTGGTTATCAGTGGTTCTGATAATTAAGCAGGTATTACCACAAATTAGAGTGATGGCGCGCGGGGCGCTTTTCCAGATGGCTCACTCAGTACTAGCGACGATTTTGACGTTTACTGGAATCAATTGGAACCTCAAAGGAACTCAAGGTAACTAAGAAGATGGTTGACACGAATGTCATATTACTGGGCTCAGAATCGTATTACGTTATTTTATCAGATTTTGCTGTTTTGATATTCTTATATTTTGACCGTTTTGACTGTAGCAACCCTGGTTATGTATAAGAAGTGACAATCGTGAAATCCCTAAATAGGGTCTAGTGATTCTTCTGTAAACTCTCTATTTAATTGTATTACTTGGGAGACTCTGAAAAATTACATTCTATTTACTTGCTTACGACAGTCAGACAAAGATGTGTTGTTTGTTCAACTGTAGACGCCCTGAGTCCGTGTCTGGCTGCTCCCGCGAAGAGCACTTGGTAAGAGAAATCAAAAAGGTCTAAAAGTGTGGTACCTTTACTGAAAACTCACCTACTATTTACATGCTTTCGACATTCAGACAAAGATTTGTTGTTTGTCCAACTGTAGACGCCCTGAGTCTGTGCCTGGCTGCTCCCGCGAAGAGCACTCGGTTAGAGAACTCAAAGAGGTCTCGACGTGTGGTGCTCATGCTCGCTCAGACACGGAGATCTTACAACATTGAAAAGCTCATGATTTTTTAAATTACAGTTTTTGTCTAAAACAGCTTAGCAAAATGTTGCTTTTTTGTCCTTACACACAGTATGAGATTCATATTTTAACAACTTTTAGATTTGCTGATTTTTAGGCAAAAAACAAAGAAGTCTTTAACACTTATGGGCCGGCAACCAGTTTTATAACATGCAACGATTTCTATCGGTGGTTTGTAGCACTTTGCTACAGTATGCCGTAGTCCTCTGGCTTCGCAGAGCTATATAGCGAATTTCACCAAGCTATCTGAGGTTTTCGTATTTAATTTTGTTGTAACCTTTACTCCAATTTCAGAATTGGTTGCACATTACCTATAAGGAAAAGAACGAAACACATCCTACCTCCACGATATACAGGGAGTAACGGAAAGGGTATAACAAGCCGAAAGGAGGTCAAGGCACTCATGAAACTGAACAACTATCTCCATGGAACATGGGTCGAAATATGAAAAAAAAAATTGACCTCCCATACAAAATCGCCGATCAGCTACTTGATTTACTATGGGAGGTCCAATTTTTTTTCATATTTCGAGCCATGTTCCATGGGAAAAGTTGTTCAGTTTGCCGAGTACATTCACCTCCTTTCGGTTTGTTATACCCTTTCCGTTACTCCCGGTATATGTTACCGGCCAAACCCGATTTTAGGATAAACTAGTTTTTCCTACGCCAAAGTAGTTTATCCTACATGCGGTTGGATAAACCGGTATAGACTAGGCTAAACCGGTCCATCCGATGGCCGATAGGAGAAACTAGTTAATCCTAGCCTGAACTAGTTGAGCCTAAAATTAATTAGTACATTTCAGGATAAACTGGTTGGCTTAGTTAAAAATGGTTAAGGCTACAGTGACGTAGCTCTAGAGGATAAAGGGTAACGTCGGACAACCCGGAGACATCGGATACCCTGGAGACTCGATCACCCTAGAGGGTGGGGTGTAGCATCGGACATCCTGAAGGCTCCGACGACCTGAAGGGACGCCCTAGAGTGATGTAGCTCGTAGCTCTAGATAGAGCGTAAGTGAGGCTCGATTGCCCTGGAGGGTCGGGGTAGCGTCGGACACCATGTAGGCCCTGATGCGAGCACTTGCAACGTCGTTGTCGGCGATAGCTCTCATGAGCTGTCACATCACAGGTGTCTGTGGGAGTCCAGCCCACGGCAGGCAGCGTCCGAGCATTTAGGGTGTCCGACGCTACCCCGCATCCTCCAGGGTGTTCGAGCCTTACAGGTGTTTGATGCCTCCAGGGTGTACGTAGTGCCTCACAATAGGGCGTCCTTCCAGGGCATCCGAGCCTTCAGTATCCAATGCTACACCCCACCCTCCAGGGTGTTCGAGTCTCCAGGGTGTCTGATGTCTCCCGGATATCCAACGTTACCCTTTACCCTCTAGAGCTCCGTCACTGTACCCTGAATAATTTTTAACTAAGCTAAACCAGTTTATCCTGAAGTGTACTTTTTATTTTAGGCTCAACTAGTTCAGCCTAGGATTAACTAGTTTCTCCTATCGGCCATCGGACGGACCGGTTAAGCCTAGTCTATACCGGTTTATCCAATCGCATGTAGGATAAACTACTTTGGCCTAGGAAAATCTAGTTTATCCTAAAATCGGGTTTGGCCGGTAACATATATATATTTCACATTTATTCCAGGTTTTGGAGAGTACCACAAAAAGTAGTGTTTACGAGATGAAACAATTCTTTTATTTGTGTGTTGTGTGTTGTGCGGCGGACAGTGGGCAGTCCCCGCGGTCACTCGCTGCGGGCGCGGCCGCACTCGACAAATACGGTGTACTCACAAAATGGTCACAAAATGTTATTTGCACTGGAAATTAATTTATGCTCCGTGCCCATTTTACACGAAAAAGTTTGCTATCTGTGTTTTTTTCATGTTTTGAGTCTTATTTTTCTTGTTGTAAGTTGATCTTTTGGCAAACCAGCCCCCTTAGCATGCGACCACGTGACTTCGTTTTTCTCTACACCTGTACTTTGAAATTTTGTACTTCTTTTATAAACAAGATTTGACACATCTGAAGCACATCTGAAGATCTAAAGTCTGGTTGTCAGACTCGGTTGTTTATGAATAGAAAAATCCCATCATACAAAGCATCATACTTATTTTATGGCGCTTTGGTATCGCTAAATGCGTCTCAATTCATTGGAGTCGGACTCTTCGAGAGCGAAATTGAAAAGAACATCCTTAAAGCAGTAAAGTTTGAAACAAGATCGTCCGGCTGAGTGTCGATACAGCGAGCTTTAGCAGCGTGAAATTAGGTTAAAATTCCGGTTCGGTCGGCGGTCGGCGGCGGCGGCCACTTCACAAACGAACTTCCTTGTCTTCGCTACTACTACTTGACAGCCGATGTGGCGCAGTGGTTAGCATGCCTGCCTGCCACGTAAAGGTTCCGGGTTCAATTCCCGGTGGGGTCACTCACAAAGTTGATATTTATCACTTTGTGAATTTGTCCCCAGTCTGGTTAAGACATTGCAGGCTGAACCACCTGATTGTCCGCAAGTAAGATGGCTCCGTGCTTCGGATGGGCACGTTAAGCCGTCGGTCCCGGTTGCTGTCTATGATGGTGGTCGTTACTCAACCATGTCAGAGGCCTGCTACTTGCAGTAGGCGTTTGAAAAATTCTGACACCAGGGTTCATCTGGTCGTTGAACGACTCGGTGTCCCACACGAAAAGAAAGAAGAAAGTCTTCACTACCTGGACGACTTTTGGGAAGCAGCTCTTCCAACGCCTATTAGCTTAGCTGCCTGTACTTCGACAAGTGTGCACTTTGTCTTAGCTACTTGATCTTACATACCTCTCAGGTTCTTAAACCTAGAACTTCCTTGTCTTCACTACTTGGACGACTTGTGGGTAGCAAGCTCCTTCTATCGCCTATTAGCTTAGCTGCCTCAGGCTGCATGTACTTCGACAAGTGTGCACTCTGTCTCGGCTATTTGATCTTACATACCTCTTAGGTTCTAAACCTACTTACCTAAATCAAGTTTGGGTGTCTAGTTGAGAAAGCAACGTTACGACTTTTAAATCGTTGAAAAGATTTCTTTGGAGCTTCGCGTTCTTTGGTTCCCGGGTTTTTAATAATGTTTCAGGACGGGCCAATGCAAAATTCATACATACTAGTATAAAATGATGTCGCTTTTTGAGTTTCTCTGACCGTCATGAAATTGGCTAAATAAACTACGCAATGGATTTTGATGCA